TAAAAATAGGGAGAGTCTCTCTTTTTTACACATCTTCGTACCATGTGTTTTTTACGTGCTATCGCCCGCGCGCTGATTACACACCTTTGAAATTCGGGAGTGTCCACCTACCCAGCTGTATAGCGAACCACTATCTATCTCTGATATATCTAAACCTTTCAATTTTTTTACACCTTTCAGGATTTATAGCTCTATTCTTCCCGCGTGTAAATATAGTAGGCCAATGACTTTTAGTTGATGTTAATGCACCGCTCTTCCCTTTCAACAAAAGGATGAACATCTGGTTTTATATATATATATATATATATATATATATATATATATTTCGATATCCATATGTGTTTTCTTGCGTGAGTGTGTGTGTGTGTGTGTGTGTGTGTGTGTGTGTGTGTGTGTGTGTGTTTGTTTGTACAAAGAGAGACAGAAAGAGAGATAGAGAGATAGAGAGAGAGAGGAAGGGAGGGGGAGAGAGAGAGAGAGAGAGAGAGAGAGAGAGAGAGAGAGAGAGAGAGAGAGAGAGAGAGAGAGAGAGAGAGAGAGAGAGATGGGGAGGGGGGGGAAGCCTTGTTAGCTCAGTTGGTGGCTCTGGTACGATTTCCAAATTGGGCGTTATTAAACTTGGGTTGCCTTGCGGAATTTCCATGGCTCTTGACCTATTTGGCTCGGTCCTATCGGAGACGGGCATTACATTCGGAGGTCTATCCTCTAAATTATCATAATAGTATTGATAGGGGTGTTAAACAAACACACTTTACACTTACACTTTAAAGAGACAAGAGAGAGATTTGGATGTCTGTCTCTCTGTCTGTCTCTTTCTCGTTCTCTTTTTCTTTCTCTCTCTCTCTCTCTCTCTCTCTCTCTCTCTCTCTCTCTCTCTCTCTCTCTCTCTCTCTCTCTCTCTCTCTCTCTCTCTCTCTCTCTCTCTCTCTCTCTCTCTGATGTGTGAGTGTGTTGATATTCTAAGACGTAAAATACTTAATCTCTAGAAATTTCAGCATACCATCTAAAGAAACAGCAGGAAGCTGACTGTAAACTATAATGTGCACAATTTTACCAAGGATTCATACAACAATTTTTATCGAACCTATTATCAGAGACAGGATTTATTTTGCAAACATTTAATACAAAATTTCATCCGGCACAAAATCCTACTTGAATCTCCCTCATCATCATTACCTTTCTCACCCTGGATCAGGATATTGGCCACGAACAAACATTCTCCACCTTTCCCTATCCTTGGCTAGTCGCTTAATAAAAAACTGATTTTGTTGGGAGGCGGGAGGTTCAGGATCTCAAAGTATCAGCAACGAGGCCATCCTATGACACAGCCGATGCTATAGTGTTAACGATCAACATTATTTACACGTCTCTGAAACCATTGTTTTGCCACATTAGAAATGGAAGAAACGGTTCGGATCTAACCAGTATGCCCCAGAAACAATTAGCAGTAAGAGCTTACCACACCCAAGAATATGGCTTCAAATCAAGAGGAAGACCAAGGAAGACCTGGCAAGATGGGGTTAAAAGTGTCCTGGAACATTCACAGACGCCTCACACTTATTACAGGACCAACACCCGCACCTCCCCTTAACATCTTAAGGATATCAAAGGAAAGAAAAAAGAGGAAAAGTGGCATCCTCAATGATTCGGAAGTATTTATTTATTTTTGTTATCGTATTCAAAATATAGTTCAAAATATAGTGCTTGATCACCCCCAGTGGGTCGGGGGGATATAAATAGACCCACTGCTTCGTCTGCAGAAGGTGCAACCCCTTCAAAGGCGGAGTGTCGCACAGGGACCCCAACCCTCTGGGATCCATGTGCGACACTCACTTTGGTGTATCTTCCTCTTCTCCTTCCTTCTTTCTTTCTTCTTCTATCTCTTCTCCCACCGCTGACCTCAAGTGTAGAAAAAAGAGAGGTCACCCATCCCACAGAGTGGGCGCCTTGTTGACCGTAAGGTGCGACCCGTGCGGAGGGAAACCGGACACCTGGCGGTTGAGGTGAGATCAGTCTACGGACTGTCCCTCACCAACACACCTCTTTGGCCCAGGTTTTCCTCTTAGACGGGAGGGTGGCACGGCCCATGCCACTCAATCGGTTGGGAGTTGAAACAACATCAAGCCCTGGGTCAATCTTGACGGGAGGGTTTTACGCACTCTCGTGGAGAGTATAGCTCCGGGGTAGCCCTGGCACAGCTCTGGCCATCCGAGCAATGTGTCCCCTTGTTGGGCTCGATGGCGGGCGGGGAGCCCCGGAGTTGAACCACGAAAAATAAACACATGGATTCTTCAACAACAAAAAACCCTTCCCCAACTCCCAACGTTATTAAAAAGTCTCGGCTCGCGGAAGCGGGTGCGGCCGCCGAGCCGAGCAAACATAAAACAAAAGGAAAAAGGACCTTTACGACTGCCTCTGCCCTCCCTCCTCTCAGGGAGCTTCCGCGGCAGCCGTACTTGACCATCCGCAGCACCGATGCACAGAAAAAGATGACTGACTTAAATGTATTTAAGATAGGAGATGCTCTAAAACAGGTTCTGGGATACATTCCT